GTATTGCATATGTTGCCCCTTTCCCCCCATTGACCTCTTCTAGCCGCCCCTGACCCCGTCCCCCGCCCCAGGCCTTCCCCACCCTATTGTCCGTGTCATGGGATAGGCATCTATGCATACATGTTCTTTGGTTGATCTCTTCTCACCCACCCACCCTCCCTGCCTTCCCTCTGACATTCCTCCGTCTGTTTCATGCTTCTACGCCTCTGGGTCTACTTTGGTCATCAGTTTATTTTACTCATTAGATTCCACATGTGAGCACGCTCACGGGACACTTGGCTTTGTAGGACTGGCTGACTTCACTTAGCATAATGCTCTCCAGGTCCATCCATGCTGTTGTGAAGGGTAAGAGTTCTTCCTTTATTTACAGCTTCGTAGTTTTCCATTGTGTAGATGTGCCACAGCTTTTTTCAAAAAAAATATATTTTATTGATTTGGGCTGTTTCCAAATCTCTTAGCTATTATAAATTGTGCTGCTATGAACATAGCAGCGCATATATTCTTTCTGATTGGTGTTTCTGCTTTCTTTCTTTTTTTAAAATATTGATTTCAGAGAGGAAGGGAGAGGGAGAAAGAGACAGAAACATCAATGATGAGAGAGAATCATTAATCGGCTGCCTCCTGCATGCCCCGTCCCACCAGCTGTGCACAAGTGTTCCTTTTTCTCCACATCCTCTCCAGCACTTGTCGTTCGTTGATTTGTTGATGGCAGCCAGTCTGACAGGTGTGAGATGGTACCTCATTGTCTTTTTAATTTGCATCTCTCGGATGATTAGTGACTTTGAGCATTTTTTCATATGTCTCTCGGCCTTCTGTATGTCCACTTTGGAGAAGTGTCCGTTTTTTAAATTGGATTGTTTGTCTTCCTTTTGTTAAGTTGTATGAGTTCCCTCTATTATTTGGAAATTAACTCCTTTTGGATGTATCATTGGCAAATGTTTCCCCACGCAGTGGGCTCTCTTTTCATTTTGTTGCTGGTGGCTTTGGCTGTGCAGAAACTTCTTATCTGGATGTAGCCCCATCTGTTTATTTTCCCTTAGTTTCCTTTGCCCCAGGAGACGTATCGGTAACATTGCTATGAGATATGTCTGAGATTTTGCTGCCTATGGTTCATTTCTTCTAAGGTTTTTATGGTTTCACTACTTACATTTAGGTATTTTAGCCATTTTGAGTTTATTCTTGTGTATGGTGTAAGTGGTGGTCTAGTTTCATTTTTTTTTTGCACATACCTGTCCAGTTTTCCCAACACCATTTATTGAAGGGACTGTCTTTACTCCATTGTATGCTCTTGCCTCCCTTGTCAAATATTAATTGAGCATAATGGCTTGGGTCAATTTCTAGGTTCTCTGGTCTGTATACCTGCTTTATTCATCTATATGCCTGTTCTTGTGCCAGTACCAGGCTGTTTTGAGTACAGTGGCTTTGTAATTTAATGTGATATCTGGTATTGTGATCCCTCCAACTTTGTTCATCTTTCTCAAGATTGCTGTGTCTATTCAGGGTCTTTTCTATAGTTTTCTGAGTACAGGTCTTTTACCTCCTTGCTTGTTTATGCCTAGGTACCCTTTTTTGTTGTTGTTGCAATAGTAAATGGGATTATTTTCTTAGTTTCTCTTTCTGAGAGTTCATTCTTAGTGTATAAAAATGCCATCGATTTCTGGGTACACCTTGGCTTCTTTATTCTTCTAGTCCCCCCCCGCCCCACCTCCCCAACCCCGACCCCAAGAGGTAGGTTTTATTGCTGATTCCATTGTGAGGACAAAATGAGGAAGTTACAGTAAACGCTCACTCACAAGGGCCTGGCGGAGCGTGAATCCTCCGAGCTGCTCTTCAATTCCTGCGCGCTGAGGTCGCATCTGGGGCTTGGGGTCACCCCGCTGACTCAAAAAGCCTCCAAAAACAGGGCTGCCAATGCAACTCTGGTTCCAAAACAAATACCCCAGGCCGCAGAATAAGCCAAAAAGGTGCAAAAGACAGCGCAGTATTTATGAGTCTGAACTTCAGTAGAATCTGACCAGTTCTCAGGAACACTGGGGAACCCCATCACCGACTGTCAAGATTTTACCCAATTTTCTAGAAACATCTACAGGGCAAGAGGCCCGCTCCTATGTTCTCCCAAGTTTCAAAAGACACGTCTAAGGCCTGCGGAGCCAGGTGCGCCGCGGGCACTCGAGGAATTGTTGACTCACTAGGTGAAAGGTCGCCGTGGCAGGAACTGAACCTGCCCGTCCGCCGTGTCGGGAGCCACCTGTGTCTGCTTCCTTCTGCGTGATTTGAGTCTCATGTTCACAGCGTCATGCTTTCCTGCGGGTCTCAGCGGGCAGCCATAAGAGGGAGAATGGGGTGAACCTATTGTCGTTCTGATGTGGTTTTAAGCAGTAAAGTAGCGGTGTTCTTGCACAGTGACGGAGCGCCCAGCTGACCTCTGTTCAACAGGGTGTGTGGGGAAAGAGGTGGCCCCAAGAACAAAGCGGTTTGGGCTGTCTTCCCAGCCGGGGTGATTGTGATGACTGGGACCAAAAGTTTTGGGGGGTCCTGGGCCAATGCTGGGGTCTTTCAGGGAACAGAGCAGAGAGGGGGCAGGATTACAGAAGACAGGCGGCCAACTGTGGCATTTATGCATCTCACCAAACGTAGTCATTCTTGGTGATATTTAGACTCCGATTTGAGTGTCTTGTGTTGTCAATAGAACAAGTAATTTCCTTTCAAAGGCGTCATCTTTTCTGATAAAAAATACCACAATGGGCCGGTCGGCGTGGCCCAGCGGTTGAGCGTCAGCCTCTGAACCAGGAGGTCAGGGCGCCTGCCTGGGTTGCAGGTTTGATCCCCAGTGTGGGACGTGCAGGAGGCAGCCAATCCATGATTCTCTCTCATCACTGATGTTTCTGTCTCTCTCTCTCCCCTCTCCCTTGCTCCCTCTGGAATCAATAAAAATATGTATTTAAAACAAACAAACAAAACATCACACTGATAGGTGAAAAAAAAAAAGTATATGGCTATTTTATGGCAAAACAGAGTCATCGTCAAAAATGTTTGATGGTGACATTTGGAAAAGAATTTTCTCTTCAGCAGCTGCAAAACCCGAGTGCATGACACATTCTAGGACAGAGCACTTGGTTACGTAAAATATCCGATTGTCTCCCCGCGGAGATGGTCAAGGATTTCACTACTCATTTCAACCATTTAATTGCGAAGGATAAAGAGCCATTTATTGTTTTTATGAGGGTGGTTGTAACAAGCCACTTGCCTTGCCAGTCAGTGGAAGTCACGAGGGAGTACCAGGCCTGGATTTTTTTCCCCTCTGACCTGGAATGCCTCCCGCTAATGAAAATCAGTAGGAAGACAGCACAGGCAACATCACTCCAGAAAATGCTGACACTTAGAGCCTGCAGCTCCTTAACCCGAAGAGGAAGCTGTCTTTGTTGTTGGCCGGGGGCCTTTTATCTGTGCTTCTCAGGCTCGGTAAATGCTAATGCTTCCCTTTATGAAAACCTCACAGGTTGAAACTTTGTAAGGTGTTAAAATGCCTGCTTCTGTTGTCATCGTCATTGTCGCTGTGAAAACGCTTGCCCTACCTGGCACGGGGTTGCCGGAGAGAAAGAAGACACAAAATTATTTTCGAGCAAAAGGGGCATCATTCTCATTAGCCACCCTTACATTTCTTCCTAAAAGGAATTGAGTAACGGACATGCTGTGTCTATCTTCTCCGTTGTGACATTTTAGTAATTTCGTTAGGAAGGAGAGATAGTGGCGCCTTAAGTTAGTTACGTAGTAAGTGAAGATGTAATAATGAGGAAAGAGTTGGCTGTTTTGTTGGTATTTCCTGAACGTATCCGTGGAGCCAACGTCTACCTTTGTGGTTCTACCAGAATTACATTTGGGAAACACCAACCCACTTAGATCCACGAGGACAGAACACAGGCTTTGCTGGGGGAAGGGCTGAGATGGGGTCTGAGTACCGTTATGCGCCCGCTGTTTGGTCTTTGAGGAATGACTGACGAAAATAGGACGATGCCCGTGCCCTGCACTGTGGTGGGGGGCGGGGGGGGGGGAACAGGAGGGACCGCAGGGAGGGCTGGTCTGTGAAAGCCGGGCAGCACACACCCGGTGGAAGCCATGCGTGTGGTCTGTTCTTTAAGGTTAAGTTCATAAGGAAAATGCTTCCAAAACTTGCCCCGGGAACACTCAGATGCCTCATCTGCAATCCCCAAATCGCCCTCCTCCGGGACGCGTTGAGCCAGACGCAGACAGACTCACCCGCGCTGCCCGCTGCCACGCCCGCTCTTCAAACCTCTCCACCAAGGCATCTCCGCTGCGAAACTTGCAAGCAGCAGAAATCCCTTTGTGTTTTCTCCAGGCCAACACCTATGTTTTCTTTTTTTTTTTAATATAATTTTATTGATTTCAGAGAGGAAGTAAGAGGAAGAGAGACATCAATGATGAGCGAGAATCATGGATCGGCGGCCTCCTGCACGCCCCTGACCGGGGATTGAGCCTACAACCCGGGCCTGTGCCCTGACCAGGAATCGAACTGTGACCTCCTGGTTCATAGGTCACCGCTCAACTACTGGCGTGATACCCATGTTTTCAATTCCTCTTATGGTCACACCCCCTCAGGTTCGCTCGGCCTCCCCGGAGCTCGAGGCACCATGAGTGTCTGCTAGGCCCGGACGGGAACTCCTCTCCCCCCATCAATGCCGTGTTAGATGGAAGCTTCCTCCACGGTGCTCATCTCCAGTTCTCGCTCAGGAGATTGGGGACGGTGTTTCTTCCCCATCCGATCCTGTGCCTGGAGCCTCTGTTCCAAGGCCTGCCCTGGTCCCTGCCGGCCCACCACCGTCCTCTCCAGGTTGCTGTGCTCTCTCTGCCCTCCCTGTGTCGTTCCCCTCCCCCCCCCCGCCCCCCAGCACCTGTCCCCGCTCTGTGTGCCTTTAGGAATCAACTGGGAAGTCTCTGTGCCTGCTGTGCCCAGACGGGAGCAGTTAACAGGTTGGACGACAATGACCCTTAGGAAGATCCGTGCGTGTTTGTGCTTCTAGCACCTAACCGCGCTCACACGTGCTGGTTAAAAGGCCAGATGGCTGCATTAGAAAGGGGTGTCGGCTTGTCTTAAAATGGTCACGTGACTCTTCTTCTGTTTTCTGTAGGTCTGATTGCCATGGCGCCCACATTCCTGATTCTTCTGGGGGCCGCCATCGCACTGGGAGCAGACGTACGTCCTGATAGAAACTGTAAGTGCCGCCTATTAAAGTAGTCATGTCTCTTAAGAAACAGAGCACATTGCAGAAGTGCTAGCGTGGTTTTCTGCGAAAGGATCCCTCAACGCGGAAATTATACATGGATTTAAAAAAAAAGTGGTAGAGTATTCGTCCTCAGAATGCCAACTCCTGAAACATGCTGGATCTTGAGAAAGCAAATTTGAGGCTGCCGTGGGAAGTCCGTCTGCCAGTGTGGGGGTTCGGGCCCCACAAAATACAGCCCAGGGAAGAAAGGCTTTTCCCTGCTAGGCACCGGTTAGGAGCCCCACAAGCAAAGAATAGCTACCTCCCGCGGTGTTTGCTGGGAATGTGTGGACCACGGGTTGGTGTGATGTCACAGTCCCGTGGCCCCACCTGGTGGGCCTGAGGGAATAACTCCCTGTGGTAGTGTCAGCGACTTACATCTGCACCATCCACTGCAGGAGCCACTGGCCATTGGTGACTACTGAGCACCTGAAATATGGCTCCTGCACCTAAGGCAAGGAAGGTTTTATTATTTTAAATAATTTATTTTCTTTTATTGATTTCAGAGAAGAAGGGCGAGGGAGAGAGAGTTAGAAACATCAAGGGTGAGAGAGAATCGTGGATCGGCTGCCTCCTGCACGCCCCCTATTGGGGATCCTGCCCACAACCCGGGCATGTGCCCCGACCGCAAATTGGACTGTGACCTCCTGGTTCATAGGTCAATGCGCAACCATTGAGCCACACCGGCCGGGCTGAAATTATGTTTCTAATAAATAATGATACAGTAAAATATTCATAATTCGCGAAAGATCTGTAGACGTCATAGGTAAACATCGGGGCAAAGTAAAACAAAAGGATAATGAGTTGAAACAGCTTTGAAGGCACTTCCTCCCGAATCATGTCAGTTTTGTGCCCTCTAAGAGCCCGTCAAACGTCGTGGGGCACAGAAAGTAGTTCACAGCTCTGGGAAGCGCTGCCGTGGACACTGACCCTGCCCTCCTCCTTCCGACCAGTCTCACTCCTCCCACCCGTCAACTTCACCATTCACGCCGCGGGTTTGGCGCAAGTGCTCTTACGCTGGGACCCGAATCCCGATCAAGAGCCCGTGTCGCTCACGCTCGGCTACCACGTGAAGGTCCACGCGCCGGAGGACGAGGACGTGAGTGCCCACCCCACGGCCTCCCCTTTGGAGTCACGTTAACCCCACGGCCCTGCCCTTATCCCAGGGAACATCCCCCCGACAACACGGCGCAGGCTCTGCGCTCGCTCCCTTAGAGCAGCAGCTCCGTGGGAATGCCGGGGAGCCAGCCGGCCCACGCAGGCCACAGGGCAGCCCAGGACGCCTGAACGATGGGCCGATTCTTTCTCTTACAAAAGAACGTTTAGTAACGTCTGAGGCGCCATGGAGTGGATGTCGGTTTTATGTTTTTCTCTAAAATAGCCCACGAAGCGGAAGAGGCTGGCTGAATAAAACGGGGGGGGGGGGGGGGGGGGG